TGGATTAAGCATTTTTCGTGATGAGAAAATCCCTCGCTGGGTAGGGGAAAAAATGTAGAATGAAAATAGTAATTTTTATGTTCATAATAAAAGAAATTTTATGTCCTACAAGCAAAACTGACCGAGTCCTTAAAGTTTCAGGAGTGGAAAAGCACCTGAATGGAGCCAAAGTCTGTGTCCAGTGGGGTCTACAAGCAGTAGGAAGTCTTGTCATTCCCTCTGTATCTTGTCCTTTCTCCACAGCAACACTTGATAGCTGAGAAGGTTGGGAATTTTCCAACAAAAACTTTGGTTCATTAGAAATACGTTCAGCGAGGACAAAGTGCCTTTTGAAATACCATCAGTTTTGCAAAAGCTTTAGTAGGTTTCTCCAGGCAGAGGTGGAACACGTGGTTGAGAAGGACTGTGGAATCATAGGTACTGCTTACTTTATTTTGCATCTTCTCTTACACATGTATTTTTCTCCTGATCAGAAAACCAAGACAGATGGAGGTGAAGTTTGCAGTATCAGCCGGGAATGCAAAGGTGAAGCCTTAAACAGCCATAAACCCCAGGTCTTAGGACAGTACAATCTCCAGCGAGTCAGACCCCCTCCTTCGAAAGATTGCACCAAAAGGGGCAGCTGCAAATCAGCAAATATACCGCTTTTCGACAGCTGCAGCCACAGAGCAGTCTCTGGTGGTTGGGAGGGCAGGGGCAGGCTGGGGTGGGCTGCGAGCAGCTGTTGTCGTGCGTATGTGGGAGCACTCGAAGACCGAAAGCGGGAAATTGGAAGAATGCATTTTGGTTTTAGAGCTGAAATTGGGCAACAGGAAAAATTTGCTGCAGAAACAGCTAAACAGACCCAGAAAATGTGAAAGCCTGCGTTGTGATGGGTGGTTATACCAAGAATGAATGCTGCCTGCTCTTAGTTTTCCCCTGAGGCTGAATCGAGCTTGTGATCAGACAGAGCAAGTCTGTGTGTGGAAGTTTGTAAACATTTATAGAAATCCCTAGGGGCTGAGTTATACATTACAGAAATAACTGCTGAGGAACACCAGCACCTTTCTGTTTCAGATTAAATTTATTTTCGTGGCCAGGTTCTTAATGAGCAGCGTGTTGCTTGCTCCTTCCTTGAGAATATCTTCTTCATCTCAGTAGGGAAAAAGCTAATAATGCAAATGTTACGTCCTTCTGGTCTAACCTGTCCCAGCACAGTGGCTGTCCCTGGGATGTTTGCTGTGTGCTACCTTAATCCGGTTGCTGGCTGTGCACGAAGCCATCATGGTCTCTCTGAACATACCCGAGAGCAGCGCCGGTGGCTGTGTCGCGTTCCCCCCGTGTTTCTCAGCTCTCCTCAGGCTGTGGGTGATCCCCTGGGCCCAGCCTGGAGCGGCTGCTGGAGATGAGGAGATGGTGGTGAGGAGGCTGGGGAAGGCAGGTGGCAGCTGGGGGGAAGATGGTGGGTTTTGGGGGGAAGAGCCCCCTGTGGTGAGGGAAGCCATGTTGGGGAGGGCAGCTCACTGAGGTGTTTCCATGGCGACCCAGAGAAAATGGCCGCCAGCCCTGCCTGGACTGGGGCTGAGGGAAGCAGGGCCCAGGGTGCTGTGCGTGGGACCCAGCAGCACCCAAACACCCACAGAGGCCGCAGGCACCTGTCACGGTACCAAGTAAGCACAACCAGTGGCAAGAAATCCCTTTTTTTGAAAGAGTTTTATTTGGAGAGGCCGGGTGGTGCAGATGAGTGTCTCCGCGAGGGGGTGGGAAGCAGAGGTGAGGCCCGAGCTGCCCCGCGGGAAGGGGAGGGCAAATGGCGGCAGCC